GCCTCCTTAAACAGACCCATAGGCGTCTAGATGCAAAGGGGAGGCGCAGTCAGTCGCTGGTGTAAAGCGAGGAATTTAATTTTTTTCTTTACACTGTGCGTTCACCGTTTGAATCGGGTACCATTATTATTCTTACAGTGCAGAAAATACTCTCAGAGGTTTCCAACATGGATCTGCGTAGATTTCTGCTGTATTGCATTTTACAATCAAAAGCAGTGCCACAGTAGCAAGGATGACCGATGCTTTTAAATCGTTGAGAAGTATACGGCATTGATGAGATGTTGACAAATTTTTTTATTAACCCAGGCTCTTCTGACTGGGTAAAATTCTGCGAAGGCAGCGACAAGACAGCTCAATTCCAGCTGGAGACAGCGTAAGGGAAATACAGAGGTGGTGGTGGTGGGGGGGAGGAGTGAACACCTAGGGAATGTCGTAAAATCTTCATACGGTTGGCCAGAGGTCTGTGTCTCGGTAGCTGGCAGAAAGCCGGTCTTTTCAGCGTGGTGTTGTCTCTGCTCATTTTTATGACTGTTGGAATGGGATTAGCAAACCGAACCTGAATACTGTAACTTTCATGAAAAGAATGTTAGACTGAATCACCGCTTGCTTTTAGGTATCTGCCATAATTATATCCTCAGGTGATCTCTTACTAATTAAAACACAATGAAGCATTTTACGTAAGTAAAATACTTACGTAATCTGACGAATTAACCACGTCTGGATATGCCATTACCAAAAATTCCAAAATCCTAGAATCTTTGTGCAGCACGGCGTTGTGAACGGGAGTGAGGCCCTTGCGGTTCCGTGCTATGGCCCACTTTTTGGCAGTTACAACCGTCTGGACCGTTTCCAGGTCATTGTTTCGAATTGCGTCATGAATCGTATTGATCCTCTGCTTAAATGAAACATAATTTGCACACATTAGACAAGAATCGATAGTAGTCCTGAACGATGAGCAGCACAACCGAGTACGAATATGACAAATGCTTCTCTCAAACGTATCTCCTATGATCACTCTATCATATTACTGTAAACTTTGAATCTGTGGAATTATTTCGGAAAGTTTTAAGCAGATAGTTTAGAAGGATCACGTTCAGATCAAAGATCCGGTACATTCTAACTCCAACCACTATTTCACTCCGCATTTCGGTCGTTAAGCCATGCCAACAACCTGCTAATTTCTTCGACCTTAAAGCTGCACTTTACCATATGATCCTGTGAAAAATTTTGAGACGCTGTGGGATATCTGAACAGATCGTTTCCATTTAGGAGGAGATGCTCACAGGAACCCCTCTGCGGCTGGTTATCTGGCTCATCCCATGGTTGCGAAGAGGGAAACGACCTCCAGATATGGAAGCGACATGAAAGATATAAGCAGTAGCGATCAAAGCGTGGCTGGGTTCGAGGGTGAAGAGTTCATTCATCAGAAAAATGTCACAACGCCTAATGATAATCTCATGTCGAGGGGAAGCCGACCGATCCCTTGATGAAAAAGGCGGTCAATATCACCGC